AAGAGAAAAATGCAATTTTATCTACGTTGTACCTCCAGTGGTGTCTGATGGACAGTTTCACATGTGGTCCGATGCTTAGGAGAGTGACCTGGTTAATTTTATAGATGGGAAACCATACGCATGTAGGACACAAGTAAAGTTATGAATATAGATATTGTCTCAAAATAAGAGAGTATAGAGGCAGAAAATGTCTAGGAGAGGACCCCGAGACTCCAACTCTTAAAAGCTGGTTAAGCAAAAGAGGAGCCAGCAAAGACAGCTGAGGAAGAAACAGCTGATGAAACCACAACCAACCAGCGCACCAACCAGCCAACAAATCTCAGGACAAAATAATGTGGTGGGAGCAAAGGGAAAGTTTTGAAGAGAAGGAAATTGTCACAGGGTCAAAAACCCCTGAGAATCAGGCAGTCTGAGGGACTGAAAAAGGCCTATTGACTGTAATGGCAAGAAGGTCATAACTGACTCTGGTGAACACAGTTTCCGTGGAACAGAATATAAAGCTAGATTGGAATGTGTTGGGCATGAAGTGAAAGGTGAGAAAATGGAGATGGTGGGTTTAACTAATTCTTTCAAGAAGCTTTGCTGTGAAAGGTGAAAGCCACCGAAGTAAGATGTGGAGTTGAGGGACATTTGTTTTGGGGTTTGTTTGCTTGTTTTTAAAATTGAAAAGAAGGTGGGCAGGAGAGAGGGAGAGAGGGAGGAGAGAGATAAGGAGAGGGGAGGGGAAGGGAGAGGAGGGAATGGAAGGGAGAAGGGAAGGGGTAAATTCATGTTACAGTAGAGAGAGGAGATAATCAAATCCTGAGAAGGAAGAAGGAGAGAACCTTCTGTGTTGAACAAATGTCTAAGATGAAGTAAAACTCTTCCTTTGAAACAAAAGAGAAGTAAAGGATTGATATGTAAATTATATATTTAACCACAGAATATGTAATCTGATTACTTTTACTTCCTTTGTGGAGTAGGAGTTAAAATTATCTGCTTTGAGACAGAAATATATAGGACTAAAGAGAGAAGAGAAGGTAGGAAAAGTCATTATAGAAAATAAAAGTGAACTAAAGGAAAAAAAACCAGCAAGATCGTGGGGCAGTGCAAGCTACTACTCAAAACTGGCAGCTTTGCACTGGTAGCAGTGGCTACCTACCCATGTGTGATGTTTTCTGAGAGTGCTGGGCTACTCAGGAGAAGTGGTGAGCCTGATTTCCATGTAGGCAAAGAGGTTGAGGGACTTTTCAGTGAAATTGTAAGGAGAACCTTATAGAGCCGCTGAGAGAGCCCATGTTTTCTACTGTTCGAAAGAGATGGTTGTGTATTATATGCGTGCCCTACCTCACAGCACTGCAGCAGTTTTCAACCTTTAGCGTCTGCTGACGCCGGCCAACCCCACTCCTGGGAGCACTTCCATCTTATACTTGTGTTTCTTCTGGATCTTTCCTTTACACTATCAGATGCAGGAGAAAATTCATGAGTTATGACATGTGAACACACATGTCTTCATGACAGAGAAGCGGTAGAACCAGAATGGGAGCATCTTGGAATAACTGAGACAGTGTGGGAGTCCAGTGATCTCATCGCAAGACACAGCTTAAGTAAATTCGGTGTCATCATTATTACAAAGCACAAAAGAGCTCTCCTGGGTTGATGATTAAGCAATGGTCCTCATCTGAAATCCACAGAAACTTAATAAGGAATTGGGCAACATCAGACACAAATCACTTATCTTACTGGAGTGCATATATGTTTTTCTTTCTTACAATGTGGTGATGTGTTATTAAGTGCGTTTTAATGGAGCCTCAAGTTCTTACTCAGCGTATTAAGCATCTTGTTAATATAATAAGCAAGGCATTCCCCTTCCTATCATGTCAACAGTACCAAAAATATGTTTCCTACTCACTTCCCCACATATGTATATTGCTGACTATTTGGAAACAGAGAAATGTAGAGATTAATTTGAAATTCTTTCATATACTTTCACCAGGTAAGTACAGTACCAAAGACTATTTATTTCAAAGAGATAGTTATGCTTAGATTTTCCTACATTCCTATGACCTTTATTTTTACATGGTACCATTTTTTTACTCAGTCACTAAAGTAAATATAGCATGTATTTCTTATTCTTACATAGCATGTGTTTCTTCTCTTACACACTTTGTGATTTTGTTGTGAATATATGTAGTATTTGCTGGTCCCTTTGCAAAGAATGAAATTTCTTTGGGATTGGGTGCTAAATTCCAGGTTTCAATCTTTAAAAATCCTGGGTAAGTAAGAATGGATCCAAAATAAAGTATTTCCAGATCATAACAAAGACTTTGCAGTAGGAAATGGAGACTAACTGAAGCTCATTGCTTTCTTTGTTGCCATCCTTTCATGTAATTTCTCAGTCACAGGTCTGAAAATGGTTTTGAACCTAAAAGTAAAGAAAAAAAAAAAAGACAATTGAATTAGGCCTACTACCATTCAAGTCTTTCTATGAGGAACAAGTCTAAACTTACAAATTTTTTATTTCATTATTTGTAGAGAAACTCATTTGTTGAAAATCACTCTCAGTGTTTTTAGTTAGAAGATGTTACTAGACTGAAAATATTTTCGTGATTGTTTAAATTTAGATGCCTTAGAGATTATTTCATCAAGGAGCTGTTGACCAAATGGTAAATTTAATGAGGATTCCACTGAAAATGCACAATTACAGTGGATTGTAATAGAATGCTATATAGATTAACAATGACTTAACATTTACTAACACACAGGTAATCTGAGTGTTATAGTTTAATGGATCCAAAGATTCCCTAGGTGCTTGACTGTTTCTTACAAGAAATGAAATTTTGGAGGAGAACGAAAAAGCAAATGTTATAAATATAATTAGTGCTAATATTTAGCAGTGAGATACTTTTTTCAGTAGTACATAATCCGCAGTCAAAGTCATTTTCATTGTATTCTTCTCTTACTCAAGGATATAATTTTTACCTTTTGTAAACCTGTCAGGCTAGCATTTAAAGTCTCCCTGCCAGTTCCCCTCCCCCTAGTCAGCTTCCTTTCTTCTGCTCTCCTTACTGGGTCCCTCACAACTGTGAAAACAATGTGTACTTTTCCCTACCCAGGCTCTGATCTTTCTTTCCTCCACATCTCATAATATGCCATCCCTTTTTATCCTTTTATTTGCTCCAATCCATGTTCTCACTTACAATTTGACATATATTTTTTTTCTAATAAAAACCAGCTTTCAGAATTAACTGCTTATAGCTTTTCAAATCTACTTCTGCTTTTTCTTTGTGGAAAATTGGGAGTAGTCAGCCGTGTTGCTATTTTTTATTTTTAAGACTTTGGCCAATCCATTTAGGCTCATTCTGTCTATTTTGAGAATAATGCTTATGCTACTTTCCTAGTTGATTTGTCTTTATGATTAAATAAGATAATACATGTAAAGTATTTAGAACATGGCTGGAACATGGTAAAGAATAAATATTATCTTACTAAAGCAAGTATTTGTATTTTCTGTACATGCTAAGTGACTGAGATTTTTCTAAGTCCTTCCTTGTGCTCAGTTAGCCCGGTTTCAGGAGGGACTTGTAGATACACCTTAGATAATAGAGAATATTGAGACCTATGTCACTTATCAGTTAGAATGGCTTAAGTAAAATGAATTTCTTCTCATTCTTGGGCTGTTTGAATTTTCATATTTTTTTAGATATTAGAGAATGTCAAGTTGGTGGTTGTTAATTTTAGCACAAATACTAACTAAGGATGTAATCCATTTTTGGCACTTAGGACAGTGCCTGGCATGCAGAAAGCATTCAATAAATGTTTTTGTTGTTATTTTGGTTGTTGTTGTGTTGAGTGTCTCACTCCAGGGTTTCTCACTCCTTTCTTCCCTTCACCTAAATTCAATGCTTAAATTGTATTGTAAACAATGTCCAAAATGCCCTTTAAAAGTTTTCAGAATATATTTACTAATTAAGAAAAAAGTCAGTGATATCCTAGAGATTATTGTGTCTATATTATTGTGTATATTTGTGACATCCTAATTTTTGAAATGACCTCTTTAAGGGAAAACTAACTAAAAGTGAAGCATCTTACCAGATGATTTCGTTGAAAAAAAGCTTTTTAATCATATATAAAAATCTTCAAAATTAATTCAGTAAGTACTTATCAAATTGCATCTACCGCAGGCTCTACATTGTAATATGTGTTCATTTCCAAGGATGGTTTGAAGACTATTAAAATCCAAAAAATGGATTCTAAAAAGTTTTGCCAGCTACCATGTTGGATTAATCTATGTTTTAAAAATGCAAAACTTTGTTCTAGAGAAAAAGTCTTCAGTGTAAAACTTTGCTTTCTATATTTACATGTATATTTACTTTTTTTAAAAAAAGCAGCTTCAGCAAATCAAGGTCTTCAATGTGTGCTTATTGAAACTTAAAAAGTAAAAAGTTTTAAAAAAACAAGTACTTGGGACCAAAAGAGGTGTTCAAAGATATTTTCTTTGAGTTTCTTTCCTTTGGAAAATTAATCAATTCTTCCTCATATTCAAACACTAGCAATAATTTCCCTCTAAGATATAATTGTTTCAAATAATTGGTTTTGTTCACAAGACCTGATACTTCTAAGATACTCTCCTTCAGAAAATGGACCTTCAGTCACCAGAGAACTAACCTTACTATTTCTGTCCTGCACAACATTGTTTTAGAGTGAGATTAGAAAGTCTGATCCATAATATTTTGTCTACATATGCTGGCAATCTCATAATTTTTAATTTAGGATTACACTTTGCGTCTCTCGTGGCTCCAAATTTCAGCCAAGTGTGAGCAAGGTGACGGGGTCAGGCCTGATCTCGCAGTGGGTAGGTGCGAGACCGTGTTCCCAGGAGGTGGGAGGAAGCCCTAAGCAACTCCGGGGGCGGGATTAACGACCAAAACTCCGCAGCGGTTCCCAACGGATTGGAAGGAAAGAAGGGGGTGGAACCCTCTGCTTCCGTCGCTAGGGACGCTTCGGCAGAGGCAACTGCAATGGATCAGGAAGAGGGGCTGACGGCCCTGGACAAGATAGTCACTCAGTTCAGCACCTATGAAGATTACCTCAACTCGCAGATAACTGCCGAGGACCTGTACTACCTGGAGGTAAGGTCGGCCGCACCGCAGAGTGGCAACCGCCTTCCAGTCCTTGCGTCCCTCCGCGTCGTGGGGTGCTTGCCCCCTGGCGGCGCAGGTCGGGCCTCGCAGTTCCCCGGCGGCAGAGGTAAATCGCCGCGTCCTTCCCGTTTGGCGTTGGCCCAGTCAGAACACAATTTGGGCCCCTAGTAGCATCCACCGCAGAAACCCGGGCTTGCGCACGCAAGCCTGCACGCTGGGCAACCGTGACTTTCCGTAGCTCAGCCTCACCTGTCACCTCCCCGCCCTCTCCCTTGCCCAGGCCATTGCTTGTAACTGGTGGCTGAATTCGGAGGCCTGCTGGGACTCCGCTGGAACTCAGCTCTGACACCCTGTTTCTCCTGCCTTTGCCAGTCTGTGTTATAGAACAGAAGGCTCTGTGTTCCCCCGCCCGCCAAGGGCAAGTGACAATAATAACCTGATGTATCTGGTGTTATACTGGGCATTTGGGTCCATGAATTTCTGCCTCATGCTGGTTGATTCAGAAAGCCCTTTAATTATGGGTACACAGGTCGTTGCGCCTGCATATTACTGATTCATGTTTATCGAGTTGATGATCACAGCTAATGTTGATAGTAAGAAAACCAAACCAAAGAAAACAAAGCAAACACCCCCCTCACCCTCTAGTTTGCAGTACAGCAAAATTGAACGCAATGGGATTGGCTACTGTTTTCCACCCAGCAACCATGCCCCTCCCTGCTTCTTAAAGGGGTGGGTGGGGGTGGGGGTGGGGGTGGGTGTGGTATGGGGGGAATTGATGGAAGGCTGGGGTGGGGGTTAAAGCTCTCGTCTTCTCCAGGAAAACCAGGATGGGCGGGAAACTAATAGGCTACCCGTCTTAAGAAGTGGGAGGTGAACCTTTTGGATCCCTGTAGCCCTCATATGTTCCCAAACTGGGCCAATTAAATGGGCACTGACCTGGAGATTCTGCTGTGCTGGAGACAAACCACAGAACGCAACATTGTCCCATTTCTCTGTAGGCCAGGGAGAGCAAGCACCACGATGTGGTACCAAACCCCACCGGAATCTGAGAAGGGTTTGTATCCTGCAGCCAGCTTCCCAGACCCATTACCTACGACAACCTGATTTTGCATTTTAGTGGATTGAAATTTTTGGATTCAAAAGATCATGTTAAGTGGCATTTTAGTTAAATGTAGATTGTAAACTTTGAAGAGTGCCCCAAAACATTCATGTGTTATATGTGAATGTAATTTTAATGAAATGGAAACATCTGATTCTAGTTTCATCTCTGACACAAACCAGTTGTGTGACCTTGGACAAGTAGTTTGATATTTTTGGAATAATCTATTAAAATATAAATACAGTTCATATTTTCGACATAGCTTCTGACTTCAAAGACAAGGTTTTTTACATATTTTATACAGATAATATGTTTAAAGTCATAAAAGAGTTTTATGCCTTGCATCGAAGTCACTGAAATGAAGGAATAAAAGTAATGGTGCCGAACAATGTTTGCATATAAATTTTTGACTGTTTAAAAAGGATGAAAGTTAGACAATAAACATCCCAGTAGAATAAAATTACCGTCATAGCACATGTGGAAACTTGCCAAGCTTAGGGCTTAAGCCTAGTATTTTTAAAAAAGGTTTCAATTTTTTTTTTAAGGCAGGGTTTTTCACTTGAGAAGAGAATGAAAAACATTAATGTTGATTAGGAGTGAGAAATTAATAATTTGTGTTTTATCAGTCAGAACTTTAAGGTCTCCAAAATGGGAAATGGGTGACTATATTTGAGGGAAGGATAAATTTCTTTTTAAACCTGACATTGATTCAGCTTATTCTTATTTTACTTTCATAAAAAAAGATGATTTAGTTGAATGATGATATTATGGCAAGTATGTATTTATATCTATTTGGATTGAGTAATGAAAATTAAGGGCCATTAGATCTGGGGATCTCTCTTCTCACATACTTTCTGAGGATGCAGGTTAATTAATTGCCCATGTAGATTGCACAGAGACAAGTGGATTCCTCAGAACTGTTTCAGTGGTGTGGTTACTTCGGCAGGCACGTGTCAGGGGTCATGGATAATGCTCTGTGAGGTAATCCTTACTCTTTGTTTTCTTTTTGGGGGGGTGTGGTGGGGGGCACCAGCAATTGACTGTGGTTTGAATGGAGCAAATTTTAAATGGTTAATGAGAGATAGCATATTATAGCTAGAAGACCCTAGAGTCATGAGATTTGGGTTCCAAAACTGTATTGTTATATTTTTAACCAGTTTAAAACTCCATTAATTCATCTGCAAAATGAAGGGGTTGGACTGGATTACGTTGAAGGGCTTTTATATTTGTAAACTTTTATGAATCACCTGTTCATCCAGCTGTCCATCCATGCATCCATATAGTCATCCAACTATCTATTTAATTAATAAAACTTCACCAAGAGGCTACAATAGTAGATATTGCCATCATTGCTAGGACTTTAAGTAAGAATCAGTTCTAGATTTGATCTTAGTCACCTACCTTTAGTGCTTACAGTCCAGCCTAAATTTTATTTATTCAGTAGACATTTCACAAGTATTTACTATCTTCCAGGTACTCTATTGTTTCATATACTCTTCTGCCAAAAGTTTTAAACTAATTTCAATAAAAATTAGTACCAATAATTCACTTACAACATGACCATATTATTTTTGCTGGTTTTATTCTTTACCCTTCTCCACCCTTACCTGTGCCCCGGGTAGCTATCCTCTGAGATCATTAACCAGGCTCTTTTTGGCTTTGGGTTTGTTTCAGCCAATAAGAGATCAGAGGGCTGGAATTGGGTAGAGGATTTATAACCTGTCAACTTCCCCCTGGTTGTGGTTTGGACATGGCTGCATTTGTTAGGTTTGGCCAACTTCTCATTCCATCAGCTGGAATCACTCCCTGTTCTAGGAACAGTTTCCTCTTCCAGCCTGATGGTATCAGTGGTTTCCCACTGTTGCTCGTCCCAGGGTGCTTTACCATCATGCATGAGTTTCCATTAATCCTGCCCATATCTTTGTAAATTGTGCTTTTATTGTTGTAATAATCTCTTCTGAGTTTGCCTGCCATGACCCTGACCTCTATATTATCATTTAACATCTCAGGCCACTGTAAGTACACAAGTAGTATATGAATATAAAAACCACATTGCCTTTTAATATGATAACTGATTGGGAAGGAAGGGAAGTTGGAAGGAAAAAACAAAAAAAAACAAAGACCAACTGGTGTTGTTTTACCATCAAATTAATTATTTGATGGTAAGATCGTTAAGGAGGTTAAAAGAGGCTCTTAGTTCTATGTCTACCTTGCTGTCATTTTACTAAATACCTATAAACTACCAAAAGAAATTTCTAATGGTATCAACAACTAGATTTACCTCTGCTAACCCAAATAACACTATTCGTTTTGCGAGTTAGTATCATCTTGCTTAATTAAACCAATCCCCTAAATCAATGTACAAAAATACTTCAAAAGTTCTGACATTTTTGTACTATGCTTTCCCAGATTCTTTCTTGGTGACTCTTCCCTATGAAATAAACAGAGTACCTTCATTTCAGTGACTGCCTATGACCCCGGGAGACATAAAAGTCCTCCTGAGTGGCTTTTCTCAGATTAGAAATCAAGGGGTGTTTTGAGAATTATTTTAAAATTTTCCCAATAAACGGATCCCAATCATGGCTAAATTATTTAGAGAGATTAGCAATGTGGAAGTTTTATTTAGAAATTAGATTGCCATTATTAAGCAAATAAAAATAAATAAATCATACAAATATATACATTAAACCTTTTCGATATAATCTTAAAATTATTTGGCAGGGATTGATTAAGTGAGATTCTAGGAAAAATCCAGTAACATAATTTACCACACCAACTAACAACCAACTCTTGTAGTTTTCTTTCCATTATTTATTGTATTAAGGTAAAGAGTAAATATGGGTTCCCTGTGAAATATCTGATTTCATGTATTTCAGAATTAGCTATATACACTTTTGTTTATCCAAAAGAAAAAAATTGGCATAAATTAGCTGCCCTCTGCTTAAGAGGAGACACATGTTTTTCCTTCGATTAGTTCACAGAGGTGCTTCTCCCTTAGTAAAAATAGGTAGTTTCCTCATGGACATAAATTCTGATATTCAGGGAGTGAAACTGAACTAAGAATGCTGCATCCACGATACTTCTGAAGCTTTATCATAATGATAAAAATAAAATGCTACGAGCCTAATATTCTCAGTGTCTCAAGCAATCCCCTAAAACTTATTATATTCTATACATACAGAGTATGTTCTATTCAGTTTTTATTTTTGTTGACTTCAAAAGCTACTGCTAGGAGGAGACGAAAGGAGATAGGGAAAATTCCCCAGGACTGTGTGCAGCGTGAGACAAGACAGGGGCTGAGGACCAAATGCAGGAGAACGGCCATTACCTAAGGCCTGGGCGTGGAGGTGGTGCTGACAAAGGAGACTGAGGAGGGAGGTCAGGAAGGTAGGAGAAAATAAGGAGAATAGGATGATTCAGAAGCCAAGAGCAGCAGGATAGCAAAACCAAAAACCCATGGAAAACACTGACACAAAACTAAGTGAGAGTTATTCCTACAAACCCCAACATGAAAGCAGATGGGGAGCTATGACTTGTGTGGCTCAGTGGGTTAAGCATCGTCCCTCAGGGCAAAAGGCCACGGTTTGAGCCCCAGTCAGGGAACATGTCCGTGTCGTGGGTCCTGTCAGGGCACGTGCAAACGTCAGCTGATCGATGTTTCTCACTTTGATGTTTCTCTGTCCCTCTCTTTCTTCCTCCCTTCGCCTCACTCTAAAAATACATTAAATAAATAAAATCTTTAAAAAATTTAAAAGCAGATGGGGAGAAACCATTGTAGCCGTGACACCTAGAAGGTATATCATCCGTGTGTGAGAAAAGCAGAGAAAACAATGAGGCATCTAAAAGACCCCCAAAGAAGAAACTGCAAAATAGTCAACAGGTATTTACT